TTTATGTCTTACTTAAGAAATAATGAGTTAATTGTAATTAATTAATATAGTGATTTTTAAAAAATTAAATAGCAGATGAACCAAAATTATTAATTCACTTAAAAAAAAGAAAAAAAACAAAATAAATAAATTTTTAGAAATCGAAACAAAATTTTAGTATATTTACAAGCATAAAAAAATTTTTAGGCAATAACTGTACATGATAATATTGAGTTGGACTGCTATTGATTAAATCAACTCTTAATAAAAAATTATTTAAGGATTAGAGATAAAATTATTCATTTTAAAAATATACAGACCCAAAGCTAAATAACAAAAAAAGGGGGATTAAAATTAAATTTTAAAATATTTACAATAATCAGACTTATTTAAGCATAATTTTTTTTATTTAAGTTCTCATCAAGGTGCACCTTTTTAAATATATATCTTAGTTCTTTGAAAAAAACAATAAATGCTGTTATGGTTTTAAAAATAGTCATTTGACATTCTTTAGGATGTAGATAACCCAATTGGGAAGATAAAACTTAAAAAAGAGATAATAAATATGATGAATGACACGAGGATAAATATAAAAAATTTACAATTATTAAAATATTAAAAGCAACTTAAATTCTCTACTCAATCAGAAGTCTAAAATTTGTTTAAAATATAATTTGGATATTTTTTTATCTAATACTTTCAATATGTTAATGTTATATTGAATTTTACCTAGACAGACACACATATTATTGATTATGACATGTGAATTATGTTAGCATTATAATATATAAAATAATAAAATAATAATTTAAATTTTTACTATATCTTTGTTACTATTTTTATTTAAATATTAAAAAAGTATTTATTAATTTACATAAATTAATAACATGTAACATCTCCATTATATTTTTGTTAATTATTGAATAAAGTTTTAAAATAAAAGCATAATTTAATATTTCAAAAAAAATTAAAAAAATTAAATATAAATAATTAAAATTAAAGAGACTAAAGTTACATATAAATTTAAAAAAAATAAAATCAATAATTTAATTCGTAATGGGTTGGCCCATAAATTTACCACCTCTACTTCCTCCATTGTAATATGCAAGCTTTGCTATTTTTGTGGAATGCATGGCGAAAGAGTCTTGATGGGCCGTCGTTATGCACTTGTTTGCCAATACAGAAGAGAAGTTGAATAAAATGTATAAATACGATAATAAATAAATAACATGCATAAATAGGTGACGAGGAAAAGTTGGAAGAATTAAACACAATATATGTTGACCCAATAAATAAAAATAAAAACACAATTTTGGATATGTTTGATTTCTCTTTTAAAAAGAGTTTTCAATTTTTTCTTCTAAATATAGTATAAATTTATACTATATTTAGAAAAAAAATTGAAAATTCTTTTAAATATATATAACTTCTCTTAGGGTGTTTTAGAATATCGTCTCGTTTAATTTACAGTATATGTTTGGATGAATTTGATAATAAAATGATTTTAATTTATAATATTAAACTAAATGTAAACTAAAATAAATATGTATGTTTAATTACAATTTGTATTCAAAAAATAATATAAATTTCTTAACATAACATTAATTTACAATAAAGTTTAACTAGCATAAAACTTTTATACCGATAACATAATTATGCTTTTCATTGTTAATCAAAAGTATTTTAAAAATAAAGACGACTCGATTAAGATGCTTGCTCAAACACCTTTTAATTTGAATTCCAAAAGATGACCTGACTGAAATATTATGTCGATACCAGACTAATTAAGTTATAACCTACCGTTACCTAATTATCTATGGCATTTGGTCAAAACAACTTTTATAAATATATTTATTTTTTAATTTAATTTATAAATAATCACCGTATACAACTGTATGAAGTGCATACAGATAAAGAAATTAAATTAAAAATAATTATGTTATATTTATATAAATCTCCAATATAAACAATTAAATTAGATGTTGAAGTAATATTACTTAATAATTTTACCATCATTATCATAAATTAGTCTCACACTAGCGAGGAAAAAAAACTAGCAAAAAAATATTAGCTTGGAATGGCTAAGTTTATAACTTGTTTGAGTCTTTGTAATTAAACAAAATACTAAATAAAGCTAAATGTCAAGCTACAGAAGTTTATATATGAATTTATTATTATTATTTAATATTTTATTATTAATTCTAGTTAATTTTTTAATGGTTGAAATTAAGATTTTGAACCTTAATTATAGGTACATAACACTTATTTTTAATTTAGTCCTTATGTAAAAAAAAAATTGATCAGTCATTTTACTAGAAAATGTCAAGTTACGTTTTTATCACTGAATGTAATGCAATTTTCATAACAAAAAAATATTTAAAATCCACCCTTATACATGAATCATTCTCAATTCATTTCCTGCCACCTACAATAAAGCACAGTAGCACACACTCTCTAAAATAGCATTCATCACCAACCTTTTAGATCCCAAGTATGGATCAGTGGTGGTGCATGCTATGATGGGAACTTTTGCATTATCAGCTTTGAGCTCAACCTCGTTGTTCAGTCCATTTCTTCACGTAATTTCGTAGCTATATATCTTACTTGGTTTCTTCTTGATTTGTTATAAAACATGGTTTGCTCTCATGCTAAATTGAAAATTTCACCTGATTCTTAATTAAGCAAGGGAACATAATTATTCAGCATGTGTTATCTCTTGTCGTGGCCATGTTTGCAGAGTTAGCACCCTTCTTCTATGGCCATTTATTGGTTTGTTTGTTTGTTTATGTGAGTTTTGCATAAAGTTTTGAATTTACAGTTAATTGTTGTATATATATGTGTTATCGAATAGTTTGTTATCTTTGAATATGTATGTTTAATTGTGATATAAATAGCAATAATACTAATTATTTTTCTTCCTCAGAAATGATTCTTGGTTATATGCGCTTACATTATTCTTCTTGTCCTTGTCTTTTATAATTGTTGGGGATTGACTCATTTACTGCTTTTTTTCATCATTGCAGCAATAGTTGGCCCAATTGATAAGGTAATAATAAAGATTGCATGATTGATGAGTGTTCGTTCAAATAATACATACTTAATTTTGTTTAAATAAAGCCTCAAATTTAAGTATTATATACCAAAAAAAATAAAAATATGGGAAAGTAAATTCCGTCATAATATAACTTTTTGATTTGAACGAAATTTTTTTAATCTAAAAAAATGTGAACTTTAGATAAAAATAATAAAATTTGCATCCTGTACTTCGATTCTATCTAGGTATAATCTTAAGCAATGTTTCAAGATCCTAATTATTTGTATAAAAACAAATTAATAGAAATGATTCTTATGACTAGGCATGAATAATTGTATGAACAATTCCTTTTTCAATATTTCTTTTATAAACAGCCATTTGTATGTAATTTAAACCCTTTGAAAGTAACTTTACTCAACGATAGTAGGGAGTGTACAGAGAACGATTTCATGTAAAAGAATTGCTTTCATTTTATTTTTTTCTATCATAACGAAACTATATTAAATATTAACATCATATATAGGACAAATATTTTAATTTAAACTTTTCAAATTCACGTCTAAGCCATGTCATAATCCGTTGACTACGTAAGATGTATGATTCACCAAATTATAAAAACTGATAAATGATAGGGACGTATTTTAAACTATTTTCATGTATAAATTAAAAACTTTTTTTAATATAGAAACAAGATTAAAAAATAAATATCACACACACACACACATCAAATTTTTAATTTAACCAATACTTTTTACCTTTTAAGAGTCATATACTGTAATTCTTCATGCTAATTTAATTTGAAATGATATTACAATTTATTACTTAACATACTACATAACTTATATATATATTATTCGATCACAATTTGAATATAGTCAAATCAATTATTATCAAATTAATTATCATAAATTAGCGCCTTCATTGATTAAATAAACCAATCTAATTTACAAACGTTGAAGACAAATACAAGGCACAAAGGAAATATTTATTATGTAACGAAAATATTATATTATAACAAGAACATAAATAAAACATTATATTAATGAGTTTTTCTGTACACTGTAGTGATATCATTTGAACTAATTTTTCTAAATAAAAAATTAAATATATACTATATAATTTTTAAATTTTAATAAATTTAAATAGGACTAAATTAAAAAATTCTTACAAATAATTCAATTATGAAAATTCTAAAATAATAAATTTAAATTTAAATTAAACTAAAAATAAATACTTAACATAGAAGAAGCTATGTGATAACAAAGAAGCTAACTAATTCTAAAAAAATGCTCTAATTTAATATATAATAGTTCATAGAAATACTATATTTATGAAGACTCATATTTAACATTGTCTTCATGAAAAATAATGCATAAAAAATCGGCATGAATATCATTTTAATTGAAATTTTTTAAGAATTTATAATTTATATACTTAGAACTCCATATTAATGAGATTTTAATTACATTATACGAATATTATTAAAATAATTATTTTTTTTAAAATTAAAAGTATATTGCATGTCTTTTTAAATTTATAAATTTTTTTAAAAAATATCATTAATAATGAACGTTTTAGTATATTAAATAGCCACTAAATGAAATAGATAAAATTTTATATTAAGAGTAAATGATAATGTGTAATGAAACGAGAAAAGTTAATAAATTATATAAGTGAAAAAATATATATTTCAGGAAAGAGAAAGTAAATTTATAAAGCATTTTTATTTATTTTACAGAATTAAGAGCGACATATATAGATATAAAAGAAGTGAGTTAGAAAAAATAGTTGCTGAAAAAATGAGAGGAAGGGAAAAAATCATAATAGGAAAAGGACATGAGTGCCCTTAAATTTTATGTTTTAGATGATGCCATGCATCCATTAGCGGGAATCTCTTGGGAAGTCATTTCTGTCTGCTTGCCTCTCCTATGCCTTTTAAACTCTGCCTTTCTCTCCGTAGTGAAACAAAAAATTGTTGTATCAACATTCAACACAAACACATCATGTCTTCCCACTTCTCCTCTTACTTCCACCTTCCCTCTTTCTCTTCTTCTAAGCATTTTCCTTCTCCATCTTCTTCTACCCCTCTTCTCTACTTCTCCAAATTCTCTCTGGGTAAGTCTAATATGCAATTATTTCCCTTATGCTCCCTCCTAACTCATCAACATCTTGTTGATCCCGTTTCTCTTTTCATTTTTTTAACCGTCTCTTCTTTTTTCCTTTCTTTAAGATTACATGTTTCTGTTGATCAGAACATTCTATTACCTATGAATGTGAAAGCACAAAGAGTTGCTACTTAAACTTATTTTGTAGGAAACATAGCACTCCAATGGAGGGTAAAAATCATCACAATATTATTTTATATTACTTAGCAGCCTTATTTTATTTTTCCTTTACTAGTGAAACTCTCTCTTGCATGTTGTACATAGCTTCCTTTGTCAATTAGGAGCTTAATAGTTTTTACTTAATTTCGTTAAGAACAGTGGTTCTTGTTCTATTACTTTCAGCACTCAAGATTTCACTATCAAGCAGGCTAAAGTTGTATGATGCGTTGTCTGTTGTTTTCTCCTCCACCCAAAAAGAAAAGGATAGAAAAAGAAACAAAAGAAAGCGTGCAGTAGTTTTTCACTGGAAACTGAAAGTAATATAGTACTTAACTCCAACCAACAAAAGTGATTAAGTGAAAGATTTATATCATTTTATATATAGGTGCTGTGTCGTCCGAGACTAAAGACAAACAAGAGATAAGATGCAGAGCTATATCCAAACCAAGAACTCAAGGTATAATGGATTTTTTTTATAGTTTTTTTTTTTTTTTTTTGCTTTAATTAAATAATTTTATACTAATTGCTTTTTGTAAAGCGTGGTTGAACCAATGTTATGTTGTGTGTTATGCAGAATATCCAGAAGTATTTCAGGGTAGTCTAGCAACGTTAAAGTTGCGTGAGATTAATGTGGAAGATGACATAGATGAGGAGCGAGACATTGGGGTGCTTTAAACTTTCTTCTCACTTCTCTGTTTTGTGCCTTTCTTAATGGGCTTTGTATTTTTTCTTTTTTATTTTATTGACATATGGCACTTCATCTGGTTACTACAACATTGTTAAAATAAGGTTTTGGTGGCGAATGAGATGGAGGAGCGAGTGGGCACTATCAAATCGATATTGGGTTCAATGGAAGATGGAGAGATTACCATATCTGCTTATGACACAGCTTGGGTTGCTCTGGTGGAAGATGTTAATGGAAGTGGTGCCCCTCAATTTCCGTCGAGTCTAGAATGGATAGCAAAAAATCAACTTGCGGATGGATCATGGGGTGATAAGGAATTATTTTCAGCCCATGATCGGATTATGAACACGTTGGCTTGTGTTATTGCATTAAAATCATGGAATATGCACCCCGAAAAGTGTGAGAAGGGTAAATGTTGAATTATAATAATTTATTTATTACCAAATTTGCAGATAACATCTGGTACCTTGATATAATGGTTGATCATTTTTATTAATGACACACAGGAATGACATATTTTAAAGAGAACCTTGACAAGCTTCAGAATGAGAATGCGGAGCACATGCCAATTGGGTTTGAAGTTGCTTTTCCTTCACTTCTTGATATGGCTCGTGGTTTGAACATTGAAGTGCCAGATAATTCCCCTATTCTGAACAAAATCTTTGCAATGAGAAATGTAAAACTCACAAGGTACCTTAGTTGTGGTCATAATTATGCTTGCCAGCCAGTTGCTATGTGCCCATGTCTATTTTCATAATAGAATCAAAGCAACCTTATCTTACAAAATCTTTTTCTGGGAAAGTATATATAGGAGTCACTTTTCTTTTTATAAGTTCTACAAGCTCTCTTTAACGTGTGTGTCATTATTGTGTTGTGGTTTGTGTGGGCCTTGGTGTGGGGATAGAATACCAAGAGAGATGATGCATAAAGTGCCCACAAGTCTGCTCCATAGCTTGGAAGGGATGTCAGGCTTGGACTGGAAACAACTTATAAAACTGCAGTCTCAAGACGGGTCATTCTTGTTTTCTCCATCTTCCACCGCCTTTGCTCTCATGCAAACCAAAGACGAAAATTGTCTCAAATACTTGAATAAAGTGGTCAACAAGTTCAATGGGGGAGGTAAAGTGCCATTTACCCATATTGACGACTACAATTTTAACCTTTTGTTTCACCCTTCAATCTCTCATTCCTTCTTTTTCATGTAATATATGGATAGTACCATATATAATATAATTTTTTTTAATCTGGTTTATGGTTGTCTATGTTTATTTATGTCATTTCTAATTCAATTTTCATTTCCTTTTTTGTATACAATATATGTCATACTATATATAGTACTATCTTTTATTAACTTGGTTGTGATTATTCATGTTTATGCCACAGTTCCAAACGTGTATCCAGTGGATTTGTTCGAACATATTTGGGTGGTGGATCGGCTGGAGCGCCTCGGAATATCGCGGTTTTTTCAGCAAGAGATCAAAGACTGTTTGAGCTATGTTTATAGGTGATTTAATAATGAATCTCAAATTAATATTCTATAAACACTTCTAAACAAAATTATCGAGTATGAAACAGAGGTCTACATGCCAAGCAATTCCAATTTTTAATGTATAAAAAAAATTTCAGATATTGGACTGAAAAGGGTATTTGTTGGGCAAGAAATTCAAATGTTCGAGACATTGATGACACGGCAATGGGGTTCAGATTACTAAGATTACATGGCCTCCCAGTTTCAGCCGGTAAGTATATAATTAGGCGACCATGTAACATAATATCAAATTAAAACAATAAATGTATCTATTCTCACTCGTAGGTGCTTATTGTTGCTTTTATTTAAATATTTTTTTAAATAATATTTTTTAATCACATTAATAAAAAGAATATTATACATGTATTTTTTTTTTAAATTAAAAAAAGTAACATACACATGTGAGTGAGAATAATTAACTTAATTACTATTGATTGGTAACAATCTTGATTTTGATATGTGATAGATGTGTTTAAGCACTTCGAGAGAAATGGTGAATTCTTCTGCTTTACGGGGCAGACCACGCAAGCGGTGACGGGAATGTTCAATTTGTATAGGGCTAGTCAAGTAATGTTTCCTGGGGAGAAAATTCTTGAACATGCAAAGCACTTTTCAGGGAAATTTTTAAGGGAGAAGCGAGTAGCAAATGAGCTAGTAGATAAATGGATCATAATGAAGAACCTGGGAGGAGAGGTATATAGTGTAATCTATGTCACGAAGAAATGGACAACTATTGGAATATGTTGGACCACTTGATTATACGTAGGTGGCTTAAGTTTTTAGTTTGTACTAATAAAGACACTTGTGTGTTTTGCAGGTAGCTTACGCTTTGGACGTGCCATGGTATGCAAGCTTACCTCGAGTGGAAACCAGATTCTACATTGACCAATACGGTGGCGAAAGTGACGTATGGATAGGCAAAACCCTTTATAGGTACTTTACACTTTATTTATGTCACTTGAACATTAAATAATTAACATAATGTGGTATATTATATGTATTATCTTGTTTTATTTTAATAATTATATATATTATTTCAAAATTTAAAAGTAAAAAAAATAAAAATTATTTTACTTTAATAGTAAAAAAAATATTTTCTCTTTGCACTTTTGATGCACCTCACAGCATTTCCTTTTTAAAAATTTTCTAATTGAAACAACGACTATTTCTTTATTCAAAATGAATTTTATTATTAGATGAAATTCATATTTTCTTAAATTAAAAATTTTGATAATAATAAAAATAAAAAAATATTTTTAATTTTTTTTATTTACAGTGGAATAATATAAAGCCCTTCTTAGAATGTTAAGTACCTTGTAGGAAATTTTAATTTAAGTCATAATCTATTTTCTGTGACCAACTATTATTGGGTTGAGACCTTCTAACATTAAAGAACTATTAGTTGAAGTCAAGTAAAGTAAAATGAAGTATGTTAAAGGCGTTTTATATTATATATGATGATTAATTAAAGTAATAAATCAGGAGGAGAGTGCAAATGTATAATTTTCTTAAAAGTAGGTTATCACCCCAACCCTCAAATTGGCATATGCCACGTTAATCTCAATATTTTTTTTTCTAAATGTAAAATGTCTCATTGAAACAAACACTTAAATTTTAGAGTAGATGTTGAAATCATCCCCTCTTTTATATAATGATAAAACTCACATCCACTTTTGAATTTCTACTCACTTCTAGTTCTCTAAGAGTGCGTAATCAAGTCATTTACTCATTAATTAGGTTGAATTGAGTTATTATTACGTCACAGGATGGCCTACGTGAGCAACAATAATTATCTCGAGCTTGCTAAACTAGATTACAACATGTGCCAAGCACAGCATCTGGCAGAGTGGGGGAGAATTCAAAAGTAAGAGCAACTTAAACTATTCCAGCTTAATGCTTCAGCCAATTTCATCAGTTTTTATCTACAGTGCAATTTTCATCATTATACTTTGATTTTTGTAATGACATTTATCACCACTTATCAGATGGTATTCAGAATCTAGATTGGGAGAGTTTGGAATGAACAGAAGAACTCTTCTGTTGGCCTATTTTTTGGCAGCAGCCAGCATATTTGAGCCTGAAAAGTCTCATGTGAGACTTGCTTGGGCCAAAACCACAGCATTGATTGAGACAATCACATCCTATGTTAGTGATGCAGAAATGAGGAAAGCTTTGGTTAAAAAATTCAGTAACTGCATTAACAAGAGAGACTACTCCATTGGCTGGTAAATTAACTCCTAGTTTCTATAAATATTGGAACATGCCACATTATGTATCTTGTATGAACCTTCTTTTTTAGTTATACAATCATGGTTCTTGGGTCCTTATTGGTCGTGTACGTTTAGAGACGCATATAACATGTCCTTTTCAATGTCTATTGACATTCATATACACATAATCAAGTGGGCAACTTTTAGCCAAAGTTTTGTCCGGTGTGACAAACACTTTTCTTTTTCTTTCTGTTTCCTAATCATTTTGTAGAACACACACCAGAATGCCTAGTCCACCCAGAGTGGAGTTGCATTCTTGTTGACTGACAGTTTTCAAAGAATTTATTAGATCCATTAATTAAACCAACCTTGCTAGATAAGACTTTGTTCTTCTTGTCGTCAAGTCAGCTTAATGTGGTATGGATAGCAAATCTCGGTGATGAAAACATTAAGAACAAGTTAACAAGTTTATTAACATATAATTTAGTTCTAGCTAGATTGTTTGTGGAAAAGTTAACATGTGATTTAGTTCTAGCTGGCTTCAAAGGTTTGTTTGCAAGTGGTGTCCCAGTCCCATCGCCTATAAAACCACACGTGAAAAAATAACACGCACTTTCTTAAGAGTGCCAGATGATCTGGTTTCAGTTTGCAGTACTGCTTTATGATCCCAAGGAGAAATTGAAACCATTTTTTATATATATGAGTACGAGTATTCTGACCCAACCATACCCATGGAACGTCATTTTGTATGTTGCAGGAGGTTGAGCAGGAATAAGAGAGGACATGGACTCGTTGAGACTTTGGTTGCAACCATAGATCAGATTTCATGGGATATACTTGTATCTCATGGTCATGAAATTGGATATGACATGCGTCGCTGTGTGAGTCTTCCATTCCTCACTTACTATTATTGTGTAAAATCTCTTCCCCATAATAGAGTATGGCCCTACGCCTAAACTCTTTATTAAAACTAGCATGAAATTTCACATAATAATTGGAAAAAAGTGTTAAAAAGGTAACGGCACAAATTATGTTGGCCAGCATTTCTCTTGATAAATTCAACTTATTTACAGTTTTTTTAAGCCTAGTTTCAAACAACAGAGTGCATTTAAATATAATGATTTTAAATGAATTTCAAATTTGAAATTAAACTAATATCTTTTAATAAGAATTCATTTCACTTTATAACAGTAATATTCCTTTGTATTAATTAAATGTTTTCATATTTAAAAAATATTTTTAAGTTACATATGTGTATATATATATATATGTATATAATATTAATTTATACATATTCTTATAAAATCATTTTTATAAATCTGTTCACTGATTGACTTCTGAAAACTAAATAATTTTTGTCACCTTTTACATTTCTCTTAAAAATAATGATTCCGTAAGTAATGGTAGTACCGTACCACCGACTGATAAAGGAATAGATGCTTGGAATTCAAAACAAAACAATGGCGAATCAAATGAGTTGACCAATACAACAACCAAATCAAAGTACTGGTTAAATTGTCTTAATCTTTATTTTTGAAATTCTCCATACACGTTGAAGCCTGCAGAATAAAAATGAATAAATAATATAATTTTAATAAAAGTATATTAGATGTATTTTTACTACATGTCTAGAATAACTATCTTACTTGTTGTAATGTTATTATAGTGGAAAAAGTGGCTTTCAAGTTGGGAAGGCGAAGGGGACAAATGTGAAGGACAAGCAGAGCTTTTGGCGCATATAATAAATCTTAGTGCCGGACATTGGATTTCGGAGGAGCAGATGCTGAATCCACATTATCAGCATCTGCTTCAACTCACTAACACAATCTGCCATAGACTCCGTTGCTATCAAAAGGACAAGGTGAGTGACAGGGCAACCATTATATCCTAATCCTAGTACGTATGCTAGCGACTTTTCAAACCCAGATCTTTTGGCCGCATGCTTTCATTTACCTCCCCCCCACTTTTCCATTTACGAAAAAAGCCACACAACTCTTTCTTTTTACAAATTGTAGTGTACCAAAAAAGCTGCATAGATATGCTTTTTGGATGATTATTATTATTATTATTAGTAAAGTGAACTCTGCAGCTTTAAGGAAAATTACGACAGCACAAGAATAAATATAAATAAAAAGGAATCTCTCCAATGGCCAATTTGAGCACGCTATTTTGTTTTCTCAAAATAGTCATAATTGAACCCCTCCGATCACAAAACAGACCCCTTGTCACTTACTCCATATATAAATGGTGAGGTGTGTAGCATTTGTGTAATTCATAATTGAATTTCTTAATTCCACAGCATCCAACACAAACTTTGTCGTTTTCTGTAGTGCTGCACTATGCACCCTCTTCAAGTTTGGCCGACTCCATAATATATCTGCCATCATATATATCCTATTAGACCAAATTTAATTCTTCAATGATATATTAATTGCAGAACTATATTAGTGGTACTTTATATTTAATGTTACATAAAATTTTGAAGCACACAATTATTTAATATTTAATCACATTTGCACTTTTTGTAATAAAATCCATCAGGAACACGAGAGCGGAAGCTGCAGTACGTACGTGAACAGCATCACCACCTCAGAAGGAGAGTCAAAAATGCAAGAACTGGTGCAATTGGTGCTCCAAAATTCTTCAAGTAGCGTTAATTTGAACATCAAAAATACTTTCCTCGCGGTGGCGAAGAGTTTTTACTATACAGCTTTCTGTGATTCAAGGACCATCAACTTCCATATTGCCAAAGTTCTCTTTGATAAAGTTGTTTGAATCAAATTTACATTCTTGAGTAGATGTTAGATTTCACCATTATCATTGTACATATCCCTCAATATAATGTTAAAAAAAAATCAGGTGTTTATGCCTCCATGTATATATGTCATGTTGACCCTTTTCAGTTTATAAATAATTAAATAAATTTTGTTTAAATATATTAATACACTGTTGTGAATAGATATACAAGAAAAAATGTTAATTTTTATAATAAATTATATAAAAATATTTTTAATGTATGTTAATCAGTTAATAGTATAAAAATATTAAATTGTATTTAAAGTTTTATTTTTGAAAATATAAGTGCTTTCTTCCTTTTAAGAATATTTTTTTCTTTTACTTTTAATTATAAAAATATCACATTGTTTTTATTTTTTTATTTTACAAATTTTATATAAAATAATAAATATAACAAAAAATTTATTATATTATTCACAAATATTTAAAGGCAGAAAATAAAATAAAAATAAGACTGTTTTCTGTTAAAAGTGAAAAGTAAAAATGAAAAAAAATTATCAAACCAAATTGATGCTAATATTTTTTTAATTAAGCTTCTTTTTATTTGTTCTTAGTTTCAATAAAAATAAAAATAAAAAAAATTATTTTTAGACCAAGAGTATATTTAAATGTTTATTCTATATATATATAAACAAAAAACTGTCAACATAGAATTTATCATTAGGTCTTTACTTGTAATAACAATGTTGTAATTTTAAAATAAGTAATATTATGTAATTAATTTATCATATTAAATTATGCTCATAAATCAGCTAAATTAATAATTTTAAATTATAGTAATTGAAATATTATGAAAGGAATATGATAAAATTAAAATTATTCATTTTAAAAATTATATTTAATTACATTTTTTATCTCTTAACTTTTCTACTTGTCATATTGTAGTCTCATTATTATAATTTTATAATTTTAGTCTTTCTATTTTATTAATTAAGAAAATTTCATTCATTTGTTAAATTATCATATTTTTTAATAATTGACAATATTATCTTATTTATGCAAAATTTAACTTAATCTATTTTTATTTCTATCTCTCATATCTTAGCTACATGAAATTTAAAAGCTCAAAATTAAATCTTAGAGCACTTTCTAATGGCTTGTACTTCCAAACTTTAGGAAGCATCTCATGTTGTTTTTGCACATGGGTGCACTTAGAAAGTGTGGGGTTGGAGGAGGAGAAAAAAATTTGTCAATGATTAGTTAAACCCGCTAATTAAGAACTTGTTAGATTTAATGTGTGAAACTAACTGATCATAGACATAGAGATGCTAATTGTCAACGACCAAATATCTTAAACACTTAAGATATTAGATGAAAGTTAATAAATTCTAAAAGTTTTACACTAACCAGTGAAATGCACAAAAATTTAATAAGAATCTGACAAACTAAATCAATAGCGTATCTTAAAACTAAAACAAAGGATAGGATGTACATGATTAGATTAAAACAAAATTTGAATTTAACCTTAAAAAGAAATAGGAAAACTAAGCAATGCAATAAATTTTACTACCTTGTGTTAATTAACAATGCTTATATTTGAATTAACAAGGCTTATATTAAGACTTTTCTAAGGTTGAAAAATTTTACAATGTTAGCTTTATAAATACTTATAAAAAGTTAGATCAAAGATATAAAAGATTTAAATGCATAAATTAATTTTAGTTTTTGCAAAAAAATTATTTTATTTTTAAAGTTATTTTTCATAAGTACCTAGTTTGAAAATTTATATAATATTAAAAGTTTATAAATTTATTTTGTGTTATATTATATCAATATCAATTTTTATATAATTAAAAGTTTTTGTTTTACCAAAAGTTTACGTGAGTTGTTAAAAGTAATTTTTTTGTTATATGTTCTTTAACCATATTCTTAGATAAAAGTAGATTATAATTACTATGAGAGAGATGGAATTTTTTATATTTAATAACAAAAACAATTATAAGTTATGAAATTCATATCAAATTTGAAAAATCATGAACAGAAACTACTAGGGCTGAGTGAATTACAAGTCATCCCCTGTGAATGTCAAATACCAGCTCCTCTTAACTGGTTTAATGATACAACATTAACATTACAGCAGAGCCATTTATTGCTGTGATAATTAATATAACAATGATGTACGTAACCTATTGTGCAAAAGAGTGATACTTTCAACTTGAATGGGGATTACGTACAGCATGGTTTGCATATATTCAGAAAGTGGATTAATTATCATAGAGTGAAGCAGTAAACCACGTTAATGTGTTCTCAGAAGTGAGATATCTTTTGACCTATGAATGTAGCTAGGCAATAATAAAAATGGCAGACAAAGGTCGCGTATGAACATGTCAGAAAGTTGGTGCTTTGGTGGGTTGGTCTTGCGCATGAAGTGGAGCTTCAGCAAATCTTACATTTCCAGATTTCATTTCCCATTACGGAAAACCTTAAATTCACTTCAATAATGTCTACATTTTAAAGGAATTTAATTAATAGACCTGCGATTAGAAAACATTCCTTAATATGCATAAAAATAATCATATGAGCCAGTTTTTTAAACATAAATTTGTCTACAAGATAAGTGAAAAATGTATTTATTTTAAAATTTTCACATGTTAAGATCAAGATACATTTTTAAATTAAATAAAAATACATAACTTTATTTGTTTACTCTATAGACAAACTCTTTTCAAAGGATTTTCAACATGTTTATTGCAGTGTTATTAGAATGGAGTTCAAATAACCAATGGTAAAAAGAAACAAGTTACAAGATGTTGAACAGTAGGAAATAGTTATCAAATTGGTAGGAATTGATTCCCTCCACTAAATCCATGATCAAATGTCAACCTGAATGTCATATTCCTGTACAAGAATCTGGGTCATGGAATTTCTTTATCATCTCCCGATTCATTATTATTGCCTTCTAACAGCAACAGACCGACAAAATCCACACTTTCTATTTATTCCATGGTAAAGTTTTAATGAAATTTATTAAATAATATAAAAATAAGATTAATTTATATCAATACGATCCAATCTCATTCATATGCAGAAACTGATTCACATTAATGATTATCTCTTATCTCTAATGGTACACACTTCACTAACCTCTTTTATGCTTCATGCATTTGTTATCTGTATTTCCTTTTTTGCATAATAACTTGAATTTGTTGATGATAAAATTAAGTAGGAAATGAAGATAATTGGATGAGAATTTGGTGGCACTTGACACTGGGGTTGGTAACACGCAAAGGTAACAAATGTTGATGAAAGTGAAAATTGAAATCCGCCGCAGCAGCCGCGAATCGAGATCTTGTCGACACAGCGTTAATGCCATGAGAGCTGGGACTCATAAAAACACTCTTTGTCTTCTTGTCCCCCAACTTTTAAAAAAAATAAAAATCATTTTGAGGTGAAATGCTTGTAAAAAAATTTTCAGACTAAAATATAATTTGGAATTTAAATTTTAATGTCATTGTGTTAAATACTTGTAAAGTTTATAATAATTATTTTCTGCTTAAAAAAACATTCTTACCCTTAATTAGTTAACTTGAAATTAATAGTAAAATTTGTTAAAAAATTAACTTAGAATATATATATATATATATATATATATTTAAAAAGATATATATTTTGTTAAAATTCAGTCAAATAATAAAATATTTATCTTTAAAATTATATTAAATTTTATCAATTGACTTTATATACTACAAATTTCAATTTTAATATATTAATAATATAAATTTATTTACACTTTTAATTGATTAGAATATTTATTATATATAACTTTTTAAATTTATTAGCATAAAAGGCAATATTTTGTATTGACGTGATAATACATAATAAACAATAATATAACAAAATTGTTATACTATAAATATAATTATGATTAAATTATAATATAAATATCAAATTAATAATTGAATTAATAAAATATCATTTATAAAATATTAAATAATAAATTTAACAATATTATTACGAATCTAAAACTATCTCACCTATTTTAAATATTTTTTATTTGATTTATATTTACCAATCCTGATTTATTTTTATTTCAAATATTTGTAAATTATGTGACCCCATTCTTTCCCACAATTTACCTTTCCCCTTTCTCATATTTTCATATTTAATTTCCTTATTGCAATCAAACAGTATGAAAAGAGGAGAGTCACATCATGTTTCAGCACCACAACACTTACAGGAATGGGGCTTGATTTTATTTTTTTTTCTTATTTCTATTTCAATTTTGTCTGTTAATGTATTCATAAATGTCTTTTCCTTTGTTTTCTTCAATACTCCTATTTTTATGGTTTATTTGTTAATATATTTATACTTTTTAAAAATAAATATATGTTAATAAGTTGTAGGTCTAAATTTATTAAAATACTTTCAAACATATAATTTATTTGAATATTACACTTTCTAAAAGAATGTAAGAATAAATTCACACTCACGGATGCTAATATCCTCTAATTGATATTTAAAAGTAATATTTCAGCATTTTGCTTTTTGGATTTGTTAAAATACTCTATATAGTATAGATTATTAAAACATTGTTTTGAAAAATTAGTGAAAATATGTTGACAACTATACATAGGCACACATATAAAGAGTTAGTTTTTGTCTAGCTAAATAAGTATATTTTTATACTATTAAATAATCTTTTTATTATAGAAGTTTATTAAAATTCACTTTTGATTCAATAATTTTTATTACATAAATTGTATTTATAAAATTTAAAATTAATCTAAATTTATTAAATATCTCATTTAAATACATTTAAATTAATATAATATTTTTTAAATATATAAAAATAAATTTATTTGATTATATTTTTACTTTTACTATTTTTCTTACTAATTTTGGCAAAAAAAATAATATATAACTGTTATTTTATCTGTCTGATTAATGAAGATCACTTCTATTTATAATTTATAAATTCTAAAATACAAGCTATTATGTTGTCATATCAATAATTTAGTTGATATTATTTTACCACTGTTTTAACTCCCTCTCTTAATATAACAATTTTAA